CCTGAGCACCCGACATGTCTTTTCATCTCTGACTCTCTTCTCCTTTTGCATTTGCCAGGCCTGGAATGCCTTGTCTCAGTACAACTGAGTTTGCTAGCAAGCGAGGTCCCTTTTCAGCCGGGGCCATGGGTTTCCTTGGGTCCTTCTCTCCGCCTCGCATTTTCCCAGGGCTTCTGGTGTGTAGAGTCTAGAGATCACATTTTATTAACACAAAGAAATCTGCTTGGGCTGCCTGGCTCTCGCAGTCACGTGGAGAGAAATGTGCTCCTTCGGTACGCCAGCCTGCAGCTCTCTCTGCAAAATACAGCAGAGGGCTGGGCACCGGGCCAAGCTTACATTTACTTCGGAACACACTTTCGCATCACTCCTTGGCAGAACATCCACGGTGGTGTCTATTTGGGGAGTAAGTTAGAGAAGTGTTGTTTCCCTCCTATGAGTGTCGAGAGAGAGGACCTTTAAAAAATGTTGGACTTTTCCCCATCTTTGTGGTCTTCAAGGTGCCCAGGTAATGAGGGGATCCAGCGAAATGTGGCAGCAGTGCCTGAGAGAGGCCCGTCCCTCCCAGGGCCTCCTGTTTCCCTTGCTAAATCAGTAAACATAGCCAGGACCGCCTGGGACAGAGAAACTTAGGCCAAGGTAATAACCTCAAAACCAAAGTTCTGGAACTCTTGAGTAAACTCGTTACCCTCCCAGATAAAACAACTTTGTTGTCCAAATCTTTCTTTCCGAAGATCTAAGACTTTTCAAATGCTGGTCCCTGGCCAACCATTGAAGGAAGGAACTTGAGCGAGCCTCCTGGAATGACAAACACTGTTAAAATAAACAAATGGACCTCTTCCATTCAGTTTTCCCTCACTGGCCTATTTTTATTTCTTCCCCCCCGGTCCCCCCCCCCCCCGCCCCGCCTTGTACTTTACCATTTTGTAATACCCTCCCTTCTCCACCTCTACGCCAATCTCTATCTCACTTTTCTCAGGGACCAATCTGATCATTTTGCCTTCAGTAAAACAAATATCTAATTTCAAAAAGAGGAATTGGGGGAAAGAGGCGGTATAATTTACTTCTTTCAGAATCCCCTCATACTTGGTTCTTTAAGGTAACCACCTGACTTGAGCTTGAAAATAAAGTTGGTTCTGGAATTTTAAGCCCTCCTTAGGAAAGATTGGAATGGTTAGAAAACAAAGATGTATTGGAATAATACTGACTTCTCTTTTCTCAGTGAAATAGGCTCCTCTTGTAACAACAAATTGAAAATAAGCTCTTCCTTCCCCATCAGCCAACCTGTAAATTCCATAGGGATTTCCCCAGTGCCAAGCCTTCTGACTCCAGTGTTTACTGCTTTGGAATGTTGCTTTTGCTGTCGGTACCATCCAGCCAAGCAACCACTAATCAAGATTTAAAGAAATTTTTCTGCAAGATGCATATGCCAGGTTGCTGCTTCGTAGGATAGGCCACCAATGGGAAGCCGCCCTCCGTGTAAAGGACCAATGGGAAGCCGCCCTCCGTGTAAAGGATGCCCAGAACCTCAGAGACCAAGATGGAGCCTCCTGCTGGTCACCTGGTGAAGCTTTTGCTTACTCTGCAGAAGAGAGGTGACAGAAACCCATTCCACCTGTCTCAAAAACCTGCTGGTAATTAGCTTTAAAAATAATGCCAAGTTCTCACATGGCTGGTAGATGCATAACCTCAGCGGGGGGTGGAAGGAGTGCTACTTCACAGAGTAATACTGTTGCAATCCCATTAGTCATTCCAGGTGAGGTTAGATAAGGTTATTGGAGAGATGAAAGTCGCCGTGGAGTTTCAAAGAGGTCTCCTGAAAGTATTGAGAAATGGTTGAAGTTCAGAAGTTTATTTGAAGCTTTGTCCCCCTTCCCCTCATAAACGAGACTGCCACTGTTTAGTCGCATTCTCCTTTTTTGATCAACAAAAGCTCTGGCAAATGATTGAGATGGTCTGTAGTCAGTGTGAGGCATCAGTTCTCCACTTCTCCTGTGGATTGTCTGCTTGGTGTATTAGCCATAGTAAATGTGTAAGCCCTGGCCAGTTGCCCTTTGCCACCTAGCGAGACAACACCTCGAAGTTTCTACCCCCTGCCCTCACTTGGGGAAGTGTCTGTTGACTCTGCACTTGACTTGCAAGTTTCTTAGAGGCAGAGGCTGGGCTGGTATCTCCAGAATATAAGCACCTGCTTCACACCACAGTTGGCACTCAGCAAATATTCGTTGAATGAATGAAATAATGAAGACATTACTTTCCTTATAAATGGTCTCAAAAGAGTCCTTGTGCCCACTTTAATATCTTCAGTGGTGCTGGCAGAACTTTGTTCAACATGGCGAGTCTTCGTGCAGAGTCCTGATGGTGTGGTGAGCTCCTCTGGGGCAGGGCTGTGTCTGGATGGTCTCAGGGGAGGTGACGTGTGGACACCCCTGCTGACATAGTAACAGGTCCAGGGCTTCTCCTAAGGTTTAGTGAGCTACTCTCCCATGGGAACACTTTCCTCTTTTCTGATTGGTTATTTCATAGTCAAAGATGAAGAGTGTTTTCAGACAAGAGGACTTAGATGCTTACAAACAAAGGTGGATATTGACTCCCCAATTTTCCATGCCTCAGTGACAGAGACACTAGTGCTCCAGAAGCTCCAGCCTGCATGTTCCCAGATAACCTGTAAGCGTTCTTAAAACAGGTTCTTAATTGAGATTTTAACTGGCTAAGTACAGACATTCAATGTTGGGGGGTGGGGCATGCAGAGGGATGTAGATTTTTAGGAAACACCAACTTACATTTCTTGGATTAACAGATGTGGGAGGATGCCTCTGTGTGTGGCATGTTCGGGTATAACTTCTCTGAGCGTAGGATTTGATTGGTTTATGGAATGGCGCTTCTGCTCACTAAACATATGGCGCAGCTGAGAGGAGAGGGGCTTCCAAGGGCCGTGCCACGAGCAGTTGTAGCCCCCCACTGAGGTGTGCGCTGCTGGCAGGAAGTGGCCCTTCTGGCTCACTGTCCCCACAGCAGCAGGTCAAGAGTTGGAGCGGGTTGGTCTCTGGATATCCGGTGTGGTCAACACTCCCTGCGCAGGATTCATTCCTAGCCCCTCCAGGCCATGTGCCCACCCCAGGGAGTACAGCCTGAACCTTCTGGCGGCACCTGGGGATGCCTGACCCTCACCGGAGATGCTGCTGCTGTTCCATTTACTGCGTCTCAATTTAGTAGTATGTTGAGGAAAATACCATCCCTCCTACCAGGATGAGATAGCAAAGTTCTCTGGATAGAACAGTGCGGAAGATTATTCAAATGATCGAGGCATTTGAAAATTATTCTGAGAAAGATTTAAAATATAAAAAATAATACATAGCAAGCACCTGTCTTCCTAGCGCCCAGAATTAACAATTTGGCATATTTACCATATATATTCATGTATCAATTTATTGATACATTCACTTATGGATTTAAACATTACAGATCAAGTTGGGGTCCTGGGGAACTCTTTAAAAAGAGAAAGGTGCAGGGACCAGCCCAGTGGCTCAGCAGTTAAGTGTGCACGTTCTGCTTTGGCGGCCCGGGGTTCGCTGGTTCGGATCCCAGGTGCAGACATGGCACCACTTGGCAAGCCATGCTGTAGTAGGCGTCCCACATATAAAGTGGAGGAAGTTGGGCACGGATCTTAGCTCAGGATCAGTCTTCCTCAGCAAAAAAGAGGATTGGCAGCAGATGTTATCTCAGGGCTAATCTTCCTCAAAAAAAAAAAAAAGGAAAAAATGTGGTAACTCATGAGGTTAAAGTGACATAATTCCAAGTCTGTTTTCTCAGGTCTTAATCCCTCCTAGTACTTTGCATCCATTGCATTAATAAATAAGCTTGTTTTTGGTCTAGTTAGGAAAAAGGACCAGCTAGTGCATGAGAATGCTGCGTTCCCTTTGGTTTTTCTTTGTCACGGGGTGGGTGGGCAGCTGTTTGGCACGGAGTTCCTGGAGGTTTCCCTTCGGATTGTAAAAGGATCCCTTATCCCTTAACCCTAGAAGAACCAGCACCAGAGTGATCTTCCCTTGGTGCTGAAGAAAAACAGACAAATAGACAAAACCAACATTAAAAGAAGGGCTGGTGCAGCCCAGAGGCATCAGTAGCGTGCTGTGACACTGGCTCACCCAAGGATTGCGGTGGTCCAGGGGATGCCGGTGGAATGCCTGTCACGTGTGGCAGCTGGACTAGCCTTTGTGCTCTGAGGAGACAGGCAGAGCTTTCCTCTCTCTTTCCTGAGAATCGGGCACAACAGTGTGCACCAATTTTTCTCTGAATATAGAGCTTCCATCAAATGGGGTGAGTAGAAAGGGAACAGCAAAGAATAGCTTCCCCTTCTGTAGTGCTCTCTGGAGTCCAGGCATCAGGCTGTGTAGTTTACATGGACTGTCTCATTAAAACTCAGAACAACCTCTGGGTCCTACTGGTCTTGGTACTAGGTAGGTACTGTTGTTGTCCTTTTACAGATAAGAAAACTGAGGCCCAGGGAACAGTAAAATGCTGAAGGCAACACGGTGAGCAGACAGCAGGGCTGGCACCAGAATCCACATGCTGAGCCACTACCCTCCACTGCTTCTTTGCCTTGCACAACTGAAACTGGCTGAACACCTGTGTCGGTGGTCCAACATAGTGACATATGTGTACTGGGAACCTAGACATGGTGGGAATGAAGATCAAAGGAGCAGCTCAGATCAGGCTGATCCCAAGGCGTGTCTGTGGAGGCTGTAAGGTCTCCTTAGCCACCCCTGGGGAGTTGATTGAAATTTTTTTCTTTATTTTATTGGCCCTGAGCTAACATCCATGCCCATCTTCCTCTACGTTATATGTGGGACGCCTGCCACAGCATGGCATGCCAAGCAGTGCATAGGTCTGCACCCAGGATTCGAACCAGCAAACCCTGGACCACCAAAGCAGAAAGCGCAAACTTAACCACTGCACCACCAGGCCGGCCCGAAGTCTGATTTTAAAGGACAGAGAGAGGCTGGTTTTCAAAACACAGGCTTTACTTATAAATCATGAAGCATTGAATTTAAAAATGAATTCAGCACTTTTGTATGACTCTCAAATCCCTCCAATATGATGTAAAAGTGAAGGACCGTGAAATGGTAAACACAGTGATCCAGGAAGATTTAGGGACAGTCTAGAGGGGTATTAGGAACATTCAGTGCTGCTGTGCTAAGCCCACAGCACCGTCCATATAAGTCAACGAGAACAGGATTCATTCTCCTAGTGCCCACCCTTTGCTGATCTGCCCAGTGCAACAAAGAGATGCATACAGTTAAGAAAGTTTCCATCTTTGATGTGTAGATTTCCCGCTGCAACTATCCTGAGGAGTCTTTATAAAGAGACATGCATGGATGTATGGATGTACTGGGCTCTGCCTTTTGCCATCAGTTGGATGAATGGAGGGAGTTGGAGGTGCTTATTCAGTGTCCACCTCCACATGCTTTTCAGAGACATGCTTGGTGAGAGCTCCTCGCAGATTCAAAACGTGGGGCACTGTCTTCTTGAGAGCCATGTACGTGAAGCAGCCCGGGTCATGCAGCCGGCACTTGGTTAAATATTAGTTGTCTTCCCCTTCCTGTGTGTGAGGCAAGTTGTACGAGGGAAGCATCAGCAGTTCGGAATGCAAAAATAGATCTCCATGTGAGGATGTGGCCTCTTTTCCCCGAGTGTGGACCAGATGTCAGGCTGCCTGGTGAGGACTCAAGGAATGTTACAGCTTCCTTCTTCGGGCCTTCATTGCCTCTCCCCATATGGAGAAGCCTCCCTTTCGATGTACTTCTTGGATCTGAAAAACAAGAACAAAAAAGAGCATGGTATAAAAGTCTCAGGTAATAAGCCTTCTGTATTCTCCCTTTCAAAAGGACTTGTATGTGTGTTATTTAGATTTTTCCAAGTCTGATACGTGGTCATCACATCATTATTTCTGTTATTACTTAACATAAAAATTAATGAAGCACTAGAAGCAAATGGACATTTGTTCTGGAAAGCATTTATCCATTTTCTTTTCAAACATTTCCTGAGTGCCAACTGTTTATCAGGCACCAAACTAGGAGTTGGGAATCCGGAGATAAGGACGATGTCATCCCTTGAGCTGGAGAAGCTTATGAATTGCAAAGAGATTGATAAATAATTGTGAAAGGAGTGTTATAGGGTATATACAAGGTGGGACCGGGAAAGCGGAAGTGGTCAGCTGTAAATGGGATGTTGAGGAAAGATAAGAGAGAATCCTCGAATTCTGTCTTGAAGAATGAGCAAAAATTATTATCAATAGGAAGAAGACATTTAAGTGACTCATTGAGGTTTTTTTTTTGACTGATATTATGAGTTAATTTCCATTAAATATGCACAGGAAATAATTCAGATCATAGTGTTAAGGGACGTGGTACTGGAATTTAAAAATTAGGGGGAGAAAAAGAATACAAAGAATGTATATGATGGTTAATCCACCAAGGGGCTAATTCCCTCCTACCCAGATAAAGGATGCTCTGGCTTCCAGGGCAGCCAAGCCACGTGTCTCCAACGTGGTGTGTTTAAAGAAGATGTTGGGAGGTTAGAGGCGGCATAATTGATGTGATTTGACAGTTGCTGTGGCAACACACCTACTTCCAGAAAATCAGTGTTAGTGGGAGGGCAGGAAAACTCCAGCACTTGCCCTGGGCTGCCCTATGCCCCACCCTTCCTGTTCTGGGCCAAGGTGTGGACCGATTCAGGACACATGCCCCCCAGGGCTGATTGCCGCCTGCCTTTGTGGCGTTGACTCTGGAATAAGATAAGGAGATGAGTAAATCAGAGCAAAGACAACAGGGAGACAAGAGGAGGAGGGGGAAGTCTGAGCAAGCCTTGCCAACTTCTTTCAGGAAAGTGTCTCCCCAGTGTCGTATTTGAATATACTGAATGACCCAAGGATTTCTATGAAAATAATGCTTATTGCATTAATGTGTGTAAACCTCCTCTTATGGAAGCAGCGGCAAAGAATGCTTTGGGCATAAATAAACTAGTCTTTAGAGGAGCAAAAAGGGTTGGGTTAATGAAAAATTGATTGTGACAAGTTTTGGCTGAAGAGCTAGGTGGTTTCCTCTGGGGCGCCACCTTCTGGTAAACCAGAGATATGACATGGTGTGAATACTCCCCTCTTGTGTGATGGTGGGTTTCCTTACGTGCTTGAGCGTACCAACCGCTTACAACCACAGAGGCTATTTCCTCTAGATCATTGGTTCTCAACCTCGGCCTCACGTGAGAATCAACGGTGGATTCTTCTTTTTAAATTATCTACAAATATTTAATTACGAAAGTAATATATGATGATTGTAAAATAAAGTCAGAACCGTACAGGTGCACAACTTGAGTTCCTATAGCCCATTTCCAGATTTAAGTATCAGAAATTTCTTGGATACTCTTCTAGACATTTTCTTTGTGTTTTTAAATGTGTGTGTATATATATAAATATATACATATCTATTTATAAAAAGGTACAGTTCTCACTTTATTTTACAATTATATATTTATATATATGTTGTGTGTATGAGAATATGGAAATATATGTATATACATTATACATGGTGTTATGCAACTTTCCTTTTTTACTTAGTATCTTTTGGATATCTTTCCATCTTAGTCCCTATAGATCTACGGCCGCATGGAATCCCATTGTCTGGCTGTGCTGTAATTTATTTAACAAGTATCTTGAGCTTGTTTTCTACTTGGATGCCATTCTTTGCACCTGTGTGTGGCGTATCTAAAGTTTAAGATCCTAGATGTCGAATTGCTGGATCAAAGTCTGTAGGCTCCAAAAGAATTGTCCTAGTTCATACTCCCACCAAAAGTGTGTGAGAAGGCTAGCTCCTCCTTCATTAAAAAAATGAAAAAAACCAAAGAGAAACAAAATGGAACAAAAATACAGAGCCCAGGCCCCATCTTCAGCACTTCTGCTTGAGGTGGGAGGGGTGCTGAGTATCTGGGTTTTTTGTTTTGTTTTTTTTTTTGAGGAAGATTAGCCCTGAGCTAACATCTGCCGCCAGTCCTCCTCTTTTTGCTGAGGAAGACTGGCCCTGAGCTAACATCCGTGCCCATCTTCTTCTACTTTATACGTGGGACACCTGCCAAAGTGTGGCTTGACAAGCGGTGCGTAGGTCCACACCCAGGATCCGAACCAGCAAACTGAAGCAGAACATGTGAACTGAACCACTGTGCCACCAGGCGGGCCCTGAGTATGTTGAAAAAGTTCCACAGGTGCATCTGGTCCCTAATCAGGGTTGAGAACCATAGCCTTAGATAGAGGGTAAAATTGAGGTTCGGCCCCTAAATGATCTTGCCTTGGGCATGTCCCTTCAGGTCTAAGCAGCAAGCCTTCCCTTAATGTGGTCCATTGGGAGCACTAGAACAACTCGCTTCCTCTGAAGTTCCTGTTAAACTGGCGATCTTTATTTAGTCAGATGTAAACACTAAATGAATCTGTATTGTTAAAATAGCCTAGGATTAAAGCTACAGACCCAGAGACGTAACACCTACAATATGATGCTTTTCTCACTATTCTATAATTTTTTTTATCAAAATCCATTTCTTCTTTTTATAGACTTTTAAATAATAATTTAATTCCTTTAATTCCTTTCAGTGTGGCCTCAGATTCCATTTGAAGTAGGTAGAGTTTGTGGATATTGGAAGTCAATACCTCTTTCTCTGATTTCAGTGTGAAAAGTCCCCGGGCAGGTACACAGCTTGCCAGCTTTGGGAATTAAAAGTGTCTCCTTTCCCTTATTTAGTTAACCTCAATAGATGGAGAGAGAGAAAATGGACATTTCTTCTCCAGAAAACCTGTTCTAAGAATTATCCATCTTAAGGAATTATTCTGGTTATTGACTTTCTTCACAGCCTGCTTCAGAAAAAATCCACTGGGGACTAGCCCAGCGGCACAGTGGTTAAGTTCGCAGGCTCTTCTCCAGCAGCCTGGGGTTTGCTGGTTCAGATCCCGGGCGCGGACATGGCACCACTTATCAAGCCATGCTGTGGTGGCATCCCATGTATAAAAAATGGAGGAAGATGGGCACAAATGTCAGCTCAGGGCCAATCTTCCTCAGCAAAAAGAGGAAGATTGGTGGCGGATGTTAGGTTAGAGCTAATCTTTCTCAAAAAAAGAAAAAGTCCACTGGCCTTCAGGTCTTTGACCCTTTCCCTTGAGGCTGTGCCTTGCCAACCTCTTCTGTATGTCCCTGTCTGCTGAGCCGCTGCCAAGGACAATGTCCTTAGCTCTGTGGCATCAGGAAGGCATGTGACGCCTTCACCCCTTACAGCCACCCTGCAACCTAAAGACGATTTGTCTTCATCTAACAGCATGTCCTTTTTCTTCCTTTTTGAGGAAACTGACTCCTGCCTCCTGCCAGCTAGCATTTGCCTGGCGTATCTTTACAGTTGGTCTCCTTATCAACCAGCTCACTCCCGTGATTGGGCAAGAACTGCCTTCCATTAAGGAGTTTTGTGTTAGGAAATCTGAGCTGATTGGGACAGGCAGGGTGGGGAGGGTGGTTGTCAACATCTTGGAGTGACAAAGGATTTCAGAGGTGTTGGGATATTCTTGGCCCATGGAAAGATTGCAGACTGTGGTGGGAATTCTCTTTTCCTGCATGGTGGACATGAGAAGCTAAAGGAGAAAGTGTGCAACAAAGTGAAGAACTTGCATGAGTGTTTGAGAATGACTTAGTGTCTAGTTTCTATTTACCCGAGAAGCACACAGACCTTGCCTCCTGCCTGTGAAATAGAAAGGCAGATTTTTGTCCCATGCTGATTTCTCCATAGACTACATTAGGCAGGAGCCAGATGGATTCAGCTTGGCTAGTCTTAGCGCAAGCTGGAAAATTTCATTTTTTCTGAAACAACACATTTCTAAGAAATTGGTCTAAAATATTGTTCTAGTGTATGTTAGGGAACTTTATGACTATAGGCTGACTTACTGCAGGCTTATAAAGATGTGGGAAAATTTACCTGCATCTCCCTTTTCCCCCCACCAATGTGCTGGTGGTAAGAACTAGATTTAATGGAGCCTTCCATTTTTACTATTTGTCTAAATCAGTGGCTGTTTGGCAATTTTTTCTCCTATGTGGGACTTGAATTTATTCAAGAAAACCTGAGTGCACACCTTTACCCAAATCTTGGCTTGCATCTGAATGTAAAAATCAGATGCATATTCATGGGATGTTAATTCAGATTATAGATTGCTGTAAACTATATATATTACTCTATAGTCTTCTCTTTCCTTCTGCCTAAATGACTGAGATGGAGCTGTCATTCCTTATAATGTAATTCCCCCATGATGGCTCATCGCAAAGGTATATGCCAGTTGGGCAATCACAAAACTTGTGCAGTGAATACTTACGTGCAGCTCAGGTGCCCAGCAGCATCTGCAAAGCCTGGCAGTAGTAGGAGATTGCTCACCTCATCCCAGATGAGACGCTGGGGGCACAAAATCCATTTTGTTTAGTTACCAGCTGACTCCATGGAATTAAGTTGATTTTTTTACCCAAGAATCCATATTCCTGACTTAGCATTACCCCCACCCCAGCAGCTCCTATTGCCTAGCAACACTTATTTAGTAAACGTTCAGAATTATTAACTGATAAGGAGAGAGAGAATGTCCCTCTTCCGTGTTATAGACACAGCCTATGGTACAGGTATCTCTGTAGGCTAGGGAGGGTCTCTACAGGCATTTTCATGTACCATCTTCCCTGTCTCCATAGCCCAGGCCCCTCAAAACCTACACTCACCAGACCAAGAATAAAAAAATAAAAAGACGTTGTGGAATTTTAGGCAGTAGGTGCAGTAGACAGCAAAGGGAAATACTAGGCTGGGTTGCTCAATATATTAAGATGCCCTCGCAAGCACCCCTCACAAAATACTCCCGCAGAGAATGGAAAGGAGACACCTAACCTCCCAAGAAGCCTGTAAGAACCCCGGGATTCCTGCCACATGTAGGGCTGGGAGAGTGTTGCTTGAGGGAAATTGTTGGACACTAGCCTTTGCCATTAATTTTGCGGGTGGACATGTGTGGGCGGAAGTGTAGAAAGAAAGTTAGGGCTTTGGAGCTGGTCCTAATTTAAAGTAGGTTCTTCTAACTCACTAGCTATTTGACCTTGAGCAACTTACTTAGTCTGCCTCGTCCTATTGTTTCTCCTTTGTTCAGTGGACGTGATAGTGTAGCTCCTTGATTATGAGCCACCGTGACTGCCCAGGAGGGGTTAACGGCATAATCAGGAGAACCATCTCTGTGGTCAGTCCCATTTACCGCCTACCTTTCTGGCCTCTCTGAAGCCTCCTCCACAGAGTCCTCTTCATCTCCGTGTCCCTCAATCTCAGGGTTCACCCGGGACCTGTTCTCTGGCTTTCTTCTTGCTCTGTATTCTCTCCTGGAGGATGTCAGGGTTATGAAATCTGTATCACTAGTTGATTGCTCTGCTCTTCTGAAGCCTGGACACATCTATGAAGCTAAGATGCACATCCTCCTGCTTCTTCATCTGGAATCCAGAGTCAGGTGCTGCCTTCTCCTCCAAATCTGCTCACTCCCCTGAGTTGCCCATTTCAGTGAATTTTACCACCTCCTTTCTAGCTGTCCAAGCCGGAAACCGCAAAGTTAACCTTCCTCTCTCTTTCTCTTTCCCCCATATCAAGTTGGCTAAGACTCATTGATCCTGCCTCATTAATAACTCTTGACTCTAACAGCTCCTCTGCCATTGATGTGGGGTGAACTCCCACCATTTCCAGGCTCCCCTCTGATGCCACCTCAGCTCGGTTACCACAGCAATATTTCATTAATTGCTCCCCATTCCCTTGAGGATAAGATCTGGACATCTAAGGCCCTTTGTCTGGTCTCAACTCTTACTACCCCTCTCCTTGCCTTCTGAGCTCTAGTTGCACAAACTAGTTTCAATTCCCTGGCTGGCCTGTCAATTCTCTCACATCTTTATGCTTTCACATATTCTGTTCCCCCATCTTGATCACTCCTTTTCCCTTTACTTGTCTAACCAAATTTGAGACTTGGCCAAGATGCCAACTCACTCTGAGAAGTATTTCCTGATGCCCCTGCACTCTCTCCAAGGATGTGGATTAGTGATCGACTTTTGAACTCCAACCTTTGGCTCCCTGGGCAGAGCGCTCTCATTGCACTTAGTGCCCTGTACTCTAATCATCTCTGTGCTTACCTGTTCCCATCTCCAGACTGTATGCTCCCAGGACTTGGGTCTCATTCATATATTCTCAGAGCCCAGTCCATAGGAGGTGCTCAATAAATGTTTGTTAAACAAATGAATGTTTTAATCAACAAGCCTTTGTTGATCATCTTCTGTGCAAGGCATTGGCATAGACGATTTCCTGAAAAGATTTCCAGTCTAGTATGAGAATAGATAATTGCTTAGCAGTTTCACTTATGCTGATAAAACTTCTAGGCTTGTATATGCTAAGTGCAATGTGATACAGGTATTAAATGTGAGGGCAGTTAGACAGAGTTGTCACCCACCCTGGGACAGTCAGCAGGAAGAAGGCTTGAGCTAGACCTTGATGGATGGTAGGACAGGTAGAGGTGGAGAGGATGTGAAGCAAGAATGTCCAGGAAACAAGGCAGACCAGCTCGGCTTGAGCAGAGAGGACAGGGTGGGAGCAATGTGCCTGAGTGTGGAGGTCCTTGACTGCCAGACAAAGAGTTTGGAACGGGAGGCAGTGGGAAGCCATGGGCTACCTTGGATCATGGCAGAGATGTTCCAGGAAGAGTAACTTGGCAGCTGTTGGCAGATGGGATTGCAGCTGGTCAAGAGACCAGTAAGGAAGGAATTGCAGTTGTCTAAGTCCTTAGTGGAATGCTTGCACCTGGCCTGTGACAGGGATCGGAAACACAAAGGAAAACCTCTACTAACTCCAAGGATGATTTATTGCTAGAGCTAGAATGAGCCTTTGCTGTCATCTGGTCATTTAATGGGTAGTCAAATTGAAGCCCAGGGAACTCCCCAAGGTTCTCATAACTGATGGGGTCTTTGGATTCCGATCCATGGCTCATTTCTCTCTCCTGCCCACAAGATGTGGCATTCAAGTTTAAAGCCTGGCAGAATGGAGAAATAGTTCACAGGCATGAGGAGACCTTGGAGGATGAGTGTGGCTTACACACATTGGCTTAGAGATGACAGTGCGACTGGAGGCAATGACCAGGAGCCCAAGGGCCAGGTTAGGACTCTCTGTGAGCTTTGGTGTGAGAGAATTACGGGGGGCCCTGGCCAGGAGCCAAGGCAAGGATGCTTTGGAAAAGCATGTTTACTTTTGGGTGCTCAACTTGGAGACTCTCATAGGAAAGAATTTTTGTGGATCTCCTTGAGAAGCCGCAGAACCACAGACACACCTGAATCCTATTCATGTTCATCCGGAAACTCAGGCTTTAAAACAATCCTGTTTTTCTTCCTATGTTTGTTTGGCTCGGTTTGGGGGTTGGGGAGAGGAGGAAGGGTGGCGTTCACAGAGCATCTGGGCCATTTGCTTGCACTTGGGTCCTGGGTTCACGGTGACCATCAGCGCGCCTCGTCACTTATCTAGTCTCCTGCTTCACTCTCTCCTCCAAATCCAAACACAAAATTTAACATAGCCCCAAGGAGAATGGGCAGTTTCATAACTCGCCATGGCAGCACTTCAAAACTGCGGGTTTCAAATGACTGGGCCCACACATTTTCACCAACTCAGACAATTAAAGAGACTCCAGGGACCTAGGTGGTGCTCATTCAAGTGGTGCATGTTGTCATTAAAAATGGAAAGGGCCTCTGAAGATAGACTCCAGGTCTGGGAGACTTGGTTTCTCTGGTGGAGAAGAAGGTAGCCCATCCTAGGGGATGGAGGTAAATGGCTCAGGGGTTCAGTTTCTCCATAGGTCCCATGGGCCCATTGGCCCTGCCTACTTCTCAGGGTTGTCGGGAGGGCGGAGCGAGGCTGTAGATATTCCCCAGGCAGGGACCTGGGTGGAGATGCAGCATATCAAAGCCAGCGGGAGCCCCTCCTGTCCCCACTCTTCTTTGGGAAGCCGATAGTCTTGACTGCATCACACCAGGCATACCATGGGTGGGAGGGGCGGGCGTTGATGAGGGTTGGGCTTTGGTCGCCACTCTGTCCTCTCCAGGTGTCTCTTGTTGTCATCTAGGGGGTGGGTGGCAGCAAGGCTTGAAATGGTCATTCTGTGTTGCAGTCACTGTGGCAGCCCTGGGAGGGATTGGGCCTTTGCTCTTGAGAAGGGAGAGCTGAAGCACAAAACAATTTGGAGACTCTGAGCTAGCCCGTGGTTGGCTGGGACTTAACCTTCCATTTCCCCGGGGGTCTCCACCCCACCCTGCATTCCCTGCTAGTGCGTGGTAGAGGGGGGATGGGGAGGGGGCGGGGCATGGGTGTGTGGGAGAAGGACAGTGCCTCTGGGTTCCCATTCACAACCCTCCATATCCACCCCAGGGGGCCCGTGTGGGAAGATCTGGAATGTACTTCATGCAGCCTTAGTCTCTGGCATTGCGGGTTCATTTCTGGCCAGTCTGTTACTTGTCTGCACCCTGAGGTGCTGTGACAGCTTTGGGGAGAGGCTCTTGGCTCACGGGAGAGGAGCAGAGGGTGCTCTGTCTCAGACACAATGGGGAGAAGGCCAGTGGGCCCACACATGCCCGTCCACTAGTTGGAACTTTACTCCACACTCATTTAACTGACTTGCAACAGGCTCTGCTGTGGACGAGCTCCTCGGGTCTCACCTCTCAGTCGGTTCAAGGAGGCAGGTTTCTTGCTGACACTATTGGCAAGACGCATGATGACAAACACCCTCGGAATGAGAGGCCTTCTTAATCCAGTCCAAGCTCCTGCCAAGTTAGGAGCTGCCGAGTCAAGTTAGGGCCATTTTGGGTACTGATGCACAATCCCAGGGCAGAATGCTTGTCCTGGACACAGGTCACACTTGGTGACGTCCCACAGGCTTTGCTTGGGCTGCAGCTGGAGGAAAGCGGGAGCTGGGGGAGGGTGCCGGAGGGAGGTGCGGAATCCACGCCCCCTGAGGGTCCTCCCTTTGATACTGCCCGTCCCATCCAGCCCCACTTGACAGATGAGGGAATAAGACTCTGCTTGGTGCAGTGACTGGCCCCAGGCCACAGAGCTATTTAGGGGCAAAACCAAGTCCAAGGCTATCTACACTTTCTGATGAGCGTGCTGCCTTGTAGTGAAGGTCAAAGCGGAGGGATGAAGGCCAGAGCGGAGCCTCAGAGCAGAGTTCCAACTGTCTTTCTTTGCCCAAACCCGGATCAAGCATTAATTAACATACTGATAATTTAAGGGTATAGGTCTAAAACACACCTCCCCTATGAAATGACCTTTGAAGTCAACTTCATCTCTACATAACGGAATATATTGGACACTCTCTCTGCCAGGAATCTTCGCCCTCCTTTTAATGAGGTGTGGTCTCTGGCAACCCAGAAGCTCTTTAAAGATGCCAGCAGGGAGAGGCAGTGTTGACATGAGCCCTGGCCCTGTGGTCAGCAGTTGCATTGTCAAATGCAGAGGGGCCCTTGGCTCAGGCTCGCCATCAGGAAGACTGAGGGAGTGGAGGAGGGAGGAGGGGAAAGAGGCAGGGAGAGAGGAAAAGGAAATGGGATGACTGGCTGCCCGTAACTTCCAGGGGGCTCTTGTCCATGACAAGAGGCCACTCTTGCCTCTCCGGGGGACCCTCTGCTGCCCAGGAACATGTTGGGCTGGAGAGGAGGGACCTGCAGTGTCCTCCCCTTTCTTTCTCTTCTGCCCCTTTGAGGGGAAGTGAAGTGGAATAGAAAGGGCATTGGCCATGGGTCAAGGTCACTTAAGACTGAACTCCACCTGACCTTCCCACCAGCTTTCTAGCTATGGGACTATGCAGGTGGTTTCATCTCACTAACTCTCCATGTCCTCATCCATAAAATGTGGGACACATTACCCTGCTTTGGGGCGGGCTGATGGGTCAGTGGAATGTTGTCCATTGGGTTCGTAGTCCAGGTCCTGATGCAAGACTCTCACTCAGGAAGCACAAAGTCCCACGCTTCCCCTTGGAGCATTTACATGATTAAGGACTTGGGTTTTAGAGTCAAAACGATTGGGATGTGAGTCTCTGTGTCATCTACTAGTTGGACAACCTTGGGCAAATCATTGATCATTTCTGAGCTTGCTTTCAACTGTCTGTTTCCATTCCTTTATTTCCACATCTGGAAAATGGGGATATCAGCAATTCCACCTTCATACAGCTATTGTGAGGATTAAATGAGGTAATTCATCAGAAGGGCCTGGTGGACAGCAAGGGCTCCCCCCAGTTACCCATCAGTATTACTTATCAGGATTACTCGTGCCTACTGGCCCTCAGGGCTTCATTTCGTTCGCCCTCTCAGGAAATGGTAACAGGCAGAGCCCCTTCCTAATGTTTACACATTATGGATTGAGCTGGCTTTTCAGCATCATGCTTTACCCATAGTTCTGTTGACAGCCTGTTACTGTGTGCAGAGAGTTGTTGGAAGAGAGCCACTTAGATCAAAGCGATCTTGATAGCGGGCCTTTCAGAGTACTTGTTCTGCACTCATGGACAGCACTTTCTGGTACCTTGTCTGAATTTGGCACAAAGGAAGTGTGTGTGTGTGAGAGATTTGTTTTTGTCTCAAAGTCTGTGTATCAGTCATAAAAGGCTCAGGACACTTGAAAAGTATCAAGGTCATGACAGATTCCCAGCTGCTGGGGTCCAGAAGGATACTTCTCAGTTTGATCTTTGGCTGAGTCTTTGCTTTCTCGTCCTCTTTCTGTCTCTTTCTTCCTTCTTTTTCTTTTTTATGCCCTCTTTCCTTCTGTGTTCCCTTTCTTCCTTCCTTCACTCCTTCATTCATTTCTTCTTTCCTTCATTCTTATCTTCTTTCTTTAGTTTCTTAATTCTTCTTTCCCTCTCTTTGATCTCCTCTTTCTCCTCCTCTTCTTCCTTTCTAGGGGTTTGAATGATCTTCTCTTGTTGGCATTTAACACAGCCTCCTGAAAGGATTATGTGCAAAGTGAAGCAAAGTTCATTTAAAAAAAAAATAATGTTTTTATTTTTGACTTTGAAATGAAAGATGTTCACTATAGACAATTTGCAAAATATAATAAATGAAAAAATAGTCTCTGTTCCCTCAAATGGTCTTTGTTAGGATCTGGGAGAATTTATTCCTGGTTACTCGATAGTTTTACTCAGTGACTCCTTCATGCAGGCCCCGTCTAGAACCTGGGGATGGAACAGCAAATAAAACAAGGTCCCTGACCCATAGAACTTACATGTGAATGGAGGGAGGTCATCAACAAACGTCAAACAAATACAAAAGATAATTTGAGGTGGAGATAAATGTTGTAAAGGAAATGAAACAGGATGGCTTGAGAAGCCATGAGTTGGGGTAGAGGAAAGTCAGAAAATTAGAGGAGATGGCATTTGAGCTGGTGTCTAAATGACGCAGAAGGACCAGGCAGGCACAGAGCAGGGGAAGAATGTTTTAGAGAGAATGCTAAGTACAGAGGCCCGGGTGGGGTCCTGCTGGGGTATGTGAGGAGCAGAAAGAAGAACAGTGTAGCCAGGCTTGTTGATTGAGAAAGAGCCTTGAATCTTATCACACGTGGCAGTGGAAAGCCTTTGGAGGGTTTGGGTTTGGGGAAGTGACCTGCATAGGTGTGCATCTTGAAAATACCTCCAGGTGGCTGTGTGAAGAGTGCGATAGGGACACAAATGGGAGGAGTGAGAACGTATAGGAGGAGGTGGCCGTAGTTCAGGGGAGAGACCATGCTGGCTTGGACAAGGGGACATAGTCTGTTTATTTGATTCTTTTTAAGTATCTGTGATCATAGTATCTATACTTTGTATTTGTGTTTCTATAGAGACCAGTAATTGAGTACTTTGGAGGTACTATGCATTGTGCTCAGTGCTTGATTTATATATACGTTATCTCATTCATTTCTCACACAAACCTATGAGCCAGGCATAGTAATCTCCATTTGCAGATGAAGACACTGAAACTCAGAGGTAGATAAAGGAAAAAAAATCACCAGTAGTCCCTCTTCTTAAAACAGACCTTACTAGGAGACCGGGGAGAATTTCTTCCTGGTCCTTTATTCACAAACGCCCAGGTTTCTAACATATAGGTGGCAGACTCAGAATTCAAACCCAAGTCTGACTACTTCACAGCTTAACCATTACCATGTACCTTCAAAAGCCCTGCAATAATATTAATGCTATTGTATAAGCATCTCCCCATACACAGTAGCTCAGCGTGTAGATCAGTCTTCCATTGCCATGATAATGTTTGCCAAACAGTCACAAGTACTGAGTAGCAAACACAAATGAGAGTTTATTGTGCACTCATCTGAAATTGCTATGGGCCGGTCAGGTGGCTGTGCTGATCTTGGCTGGACTCGCACATCTAGGGAGCAGGGTGATTTAGGCTGACCCAGACTGGCCTGCTCCACGTGTCCATCATCCCACAGTGGGCTAGACCAGGCATGTTTACAGTGATGGCAGAAGTGCTAGAGAGAAGAAGAAAGAACCTGCAAAGCCTCTTTAGGCTCAGCCTCGGAACTGACACTGTGTCACATCTGCTACATTCTGCTGGCCAATGCAAGTCACAAGGCTGGCCCAGATTTGAGGGGTGGGGAAAGAGAGTGTCTGGAACTGCACAGTCACATGGAATGGGACATGC